CTTACCTTTAAAAATGCAGTGTGGGCTCTTTAGGTGACCTGCTGAGAGAAGCCAATCAACCATGTTATTAAGATACAAATACTGGAGGGCTAGGTTTAGAAGCAATTCTACTATACGTTTTTGATTTAGGAAACTATTATTTTATAACATTGTTAATACAATTTCATATCAGGTGCACTCATTGCACACAGATTGTCAACCATGCCCTTCTTTCTAATCAGGAAACCCAGAACAGCCTGCATGCTTTTTGGCAGCTTATGTATAACTGATGAAGCCAGATGGACCCATCTTTGCTAGAAAATAGGAACAGGGATGTGTCCTTCCTCTGAGTCATTCAGCAGTTTGTGTGATCTTTCCTGCTCTTTTGTTATCTTTCACAACAGAGTTAGGTCAACATCTTTCTAAAGTTTATTTTCTAACTTGGAGCTTTCTACCTGTTCGCTGCAAGCTGTAATATGAAATATTATTGTATAGCATATAGAATTCTAAATTAAGAATTCTGTAGAGCAGTTGTCGGCTCCAATGAATAATTATGCTCTGTATATGTATTGATATGTATGGTTTATTACCTCCCCTAATTTGTTCAATACCCATTCATTCTAATTCAGTTATGTAGTATTACTTATTTATATACAATTTACTATTAGTACTGGACATAACAAATACATTTAAAATATAATTTAAAAACATTTATGATTTAAAATAGATAATTAAAAATAATGTCAGCTTTTTAGTATTCAGTTATGTTCATTCAAGGTAACAGGAATCATGCGGTAAGTTTCTTGTGGGTGAGTTTGAGGAAAGGAGAATCTAACCATGGAGAAGAAAAAAAATGCATACACAATTTACTTTTAGTACTGTACATAACAAATGAAATATATAAACATTTTCATTAAAAAAAATTAATTTTAAAATAAAATCAACATCAACATTTTAGTATTTAGGTATGCACATCTAAGCTAAAAGGAATCATGAGATAAGATTTTGGTGGGAGAGACTGAAAAAAGAAGAAACTAATCATAGATACAAAATTATATATTATATATATGTAAACAATTTACGTTTAGCACTGAACATTACCAAAAAAATATACTTAAATATAATTTAAAACGGTTCCTTTTAAAGTAGATAATACAAGTCAACGTTTTAGGATTCAGTTATGTCCATCCAAACTATCATGAATCATGAGATTAAATTCTGGTCGGAGAGTTTAAAGAAAGAAAAATCTTATCATGGATACCTTCCTCTTTGAACCCAATAGAACCTATGTATGGGTTCCACCACTAGCATCTCAGAGAATAGACAAGACAGTGTACAATGAACCGGCTGCTACCTAAGAATTTATGAAGTATAAAGCTAATGTGTAAATATTAATAATATACCCTTGAATGAATGTAAACTAGCACAACATTAAACAATAAAATGTAAACTGAGAATGTGAGAAGTCATACCATGGAATATAAAACTTGACACCTCTTATTAAGCTTCCCAAAGGACATTCAGACCTTTTACCTTCTCTACCTATCTCTATCAAGGACTCCCCGGAGGATCGTAACACACATATCTCTGACCTTTCCAATCATAGCTCGTAATGCTTATGAAATGGATGTCACAAAGCATCAGTGTGATATGTAGGTAACTAGCATTTTCAGGAGAGGTCAGAAAAGGAATTGTACATATCTTTCTGATGACAGGTGTCCTTTATTGTCAACCCAGAATGGAATTATAACTTGAAAATGAATTTTAGCAGACACCCAGCAGCTTTCTGTAACTCTTGGTGACCCCACTGGTAGGACCTCTACACTTGAATTCCCAGCTTCACCCGTGTGCTACAGTAGGGATGCATCACTGTCACTGTTGTCATTTTAATGAACATCTTGTCACCAGAATCCCCAGGACATATAAGAGTATCAACTCACTAATGACTAACCGGTAACTAAAATAAGAGACGTGTAGAGGTTTGTATGTAATGAGGCTGATTTACTAGTTCAGAAGGTTCGCTGAAAAAATTGTGTGAATATTCACATCAGTTATCCTGTCATGATTAACCCCATCATGTGCAGATGCTTTCACTTGATTGGATGATTGAAGTGAATATTCACAGATTTTTCTAAACTCCTTTAGCAAAATTGGCCAATTAAATTTGGGATTAAAATGTAGACTTCATTTATTTATTTTTAGTCAGATAAATATTAAATTATATTAAAGGTGGAGCAGTTCTAGGCTTCTTTTCATTTATTGAAAAAGGTTAACCTGAATGAAAATGTCTGCCGTTGGCAGAGATGAATAGCTGAAGCTCAAATTGCACACACAGCTTAATGAATCAGAGGATTGGCCTATGCTCCTACCATTCTGTTCTGTTCATTCAAGAAATGCTACTGTTGGACTGTAAGTTACTGGATGGTTCAGCTATCAAGAAATGGCCATACTTCAGTCATGTATCTTTTTCAGCCTGAAGTTCCTTCATGGTGTCTCAATCCCATGGCTCAACATACTAGGCCTCTGTCCGATGTCACTCTCCCCAGGGAGCAGGTCTAGGAGGATCAGGCACAAATGCATTCCTCCCCCAGGCAAGAGGCCCAGGGGAAGGCTGACTTCCTAAAGTTACTCCTAAATATTTAACACTAACAATAAACCTTCTAGACGTTGGCCAGGAAGATGTAACGATTCATAACTCTGATTATTGCAGCCGCACATACTATTGCCAGGGACACTCCCCAGCAGTAAGCAGAAGCAAACAATAACCAGAGCTCAAGAGAGACTCACAGAAGTTGAACTATCAGTCAGTCTCAGGCTATAGCCTGGCAACTTCAACATTTAAATAGAGACTTCTGCTTAGGGCAGGGTGGTTACATGGACTACATAGTACAAGTTTAGTGTAAAATAAACTGGTATTCTGTGTAATATCAGAACTATATCCAATATCAACTTTATGTAGCTATATTCCAGAACTGATACTATACTTGTCTAGTCCACTTATGCAGGGTCTTTCAATAAACAGGGTAAGTGTACAATGCATGCACCCAAAGCCCAATCAAATTTCACTTTAGTGAAGCCAATAGTCATTGATTGATTGCCATAGGCATTGCACTTCCTATTATTGTTATTTAGTTTTTTGTACTGTTTTAGTGAATATTTATGACAATCTGGATTTCATGGCAATAAATGTGTTCTGAAGCTGATGTGTGTGACCAGTGTGGAAGGTAATGACAGAGCTCGCCACTTGGTTTCATCTTTGCCTTAATATCTGTGAAGCTTTCTAAGACTTCATATACATAGAGCCTCATACTGTATATTAGTGTGTTCACACTAAGAAATTGAATCATTTGCCTATAGCCACTGTGACAGTGCTGTTCCTTGTCACAGTGTGATAAGGGTTAGAGGTCACCCAGGGTTCTCACCTAAACAGGTTGTGGAGCTCCCGTGTGCATGTTTCAAGTAGCCACCCTCCAGAAGGAAGGACAGTGTCAGCGTCAATTCAGAGATGATTTGAAGATCTATGGCTGAGTGATACACAAATAAGGTCCAGTATTGTTAATAGTTCAGGTAATTGAATGCATTTTTAAGATTCAACTTTAAAGGGAAACTATATTTGTTTTAAGAGTATTTGCTATAAAGCTAATACTTCGTATTTTATTTTTTTGGGATGATGGTTTTGAGCTAATTTTACTTCGTAAAACTCTATTTGGTCGTTTGTATCTTATTTTTAAGTTTCTATAATGTTAAAATTATATTTTACATCTGTTTTTACTGCGTACATTAAATATAAACATTTAAGACAGGGTGCATACAGGGTTTTATTAAGAGAGAGTACAACAGAAGCGGTTTACATTTACAGGGCTATTCAAAAGGGTGAAGAGTTTGGAGAAGGCAGGAGAAGGGAACAATGTAGGCCAACATAGCTGATTTTGAAAATGTTTCCACTTCAGCTCACTTTCCAGTTCAGCTAAGTTGTCCTAGATTGTTCACGTCTCCTGCCTTCTCCAAACTCTTCACCCTTTTGTAAATTACCCTGTCAGACTTTGTCTTAATAAAATGTCAGGTGGAGCATCCTTACAAACAGGTAGGGGGTAGGAAAGCGATGAGCCACTTCTCAGACATTCAGTTGTGTGTGTAGCTTGAGCTATGGAGCTTTGTAAAAAGCAGGCTCTATTCAGCAGAGCAGATAAGGATAGCCTGCAGGCTGGAAATAAGAATACAAACTATTAATTAAAAAATTGTCATATTATACATTATATTTTTTTAAGTCTACCATAAAAATGAAAAGTATATACAAAACCACTATAAATTCCTTTTAAGTGGATCCATATTTTAATTGATTTATTTCATTTATTTTACAGTATGCAGTGTTGCAGTCTTTTTAATATGTCCTTAATTTAGGAAGGATAAATAAAGCTAGTTTATTGCAGAGGATAATGCCCTTTTTAATGTTCCTATGGAAATAAATTATTCAGTGTGTTTTGTTTCCACAGGATAATTGAAGCTATCTGCATCGGCTGGTTTACGGCAGAGTGCATCGTCAGGTTCATTGTCTCAAAGAATAAATGTGACTTTGTCAGAAAGCCCTTGAACATCATTGACATGCTGGCCATCTCTCCCTATTATGTTTCCGTCATCATGACTATTTTCACAGACGAAAACCCCCAACTGCAGAGAGCTGGGGTGACCCTGAGGGTTCTGAGGATGATGAGAATATTTTGGGTTATAAAACTTGCCAGACACTTCATAGGCCTGCAGACTTTAGGCCTCACTCTGAAGCGTTGCTATCGGGAGATGATCATGCTGTTGGTGTTTATTTGTGTCGCCATGGCAATATTTGGTGCACTCGCTCAGCTTCTGGAGCACGGCCTGGACCTTGAAACAAAGAACGAGGATTATTCCAGCATACCCGCGGCCTGCTGGTGGGTGATCATTTCCATGACCACCGTGGGCTATGGAGACATGTATCCGATATCTGTCCCCGGCAGGATACTTGGCGGAATTTGTGTCGTCAGTGGGATTGTTCTCCTGGCCTTGCCTATAACGTTCATATACCACAGTTTTGTACAGTGTTACCACGAACTGAAATATAAATCTGCCAGATATGGCAGGACTTTATCAAATGAATTCTTAAACTAATAAGCTCAAAAGCTTTGTTATATATTTATTTTATTACGCAATGGTAGCCAATGCTACTTCAATTACAGTATCCCACAGGCAGCACAAGTAGGAAACAAGATGGCACTCTTCTCATCCCTGATTTCATGGTATTAAAGGTGAACTCCAGTCAGCTTTAAAAATAAAACTACACTTGCAGTAGAACAAACCCCTCCTACATTGCCAGGGTAAAATGTACATTTTGTGCAGGGGGATCCCAATAAGAACCAATACTTAACTTAGTCTTTTCTCCCATGGTAGCTGGTGATCCTCCCCATTCTCCCGCTGATCCTTCATTCTATGTAATGACATCAGCAACTGGAGTAGCAATGAAGAGAAGTGGCTTTGTGGGAAAGGGCATGCAGCGGGGAGGAAGCTTGCAGGAACAAGCAATATTACTGCTTATTCCTATCCAAAATGAACATTTACCTCTTGTAATGTGTTGATCCATGCATGTTCCAGGTCATTGATTATGAACGTATATCAGGCACATACACGGGTACAGGCAGTGGCAGCCAAGAAGCTAGCATTTTTAGAAGGTCAGCAATAGCAGCTCCCATAGATCTCAGGCTTTCTTTAATTTATATAGCAATGGTATACTCAGTCATGCATAGCATAGCCTTGTTCAGTCCCAACCACTGAAAAGGCTTATATTCTAAAGTACTGTATATGCTACAGTTATTTAGACCCCCAGCACACCTTGGACCAATTTCATGATGGGTAATAAGCCAACCTATGTGTTTTTAGATTGTGGTAGAAAAAAAGCATCAGGGAAAAAAACATGGGTAGAGCATGCTGATTATGGCTCTAGGTGGGAGCTGACCCACAGCTGCAAAGCTGTAATGTTACCCCCTTATAACATCATACATCATTACAAAGCACCCACTCCTTAGCTGTACAAGCAGATATTTGGTGAATGGGACCCTTTTCTTCTCCAAGTCAATAAGCAAGTGCACATCCTGTACGATCCCTTCTTCTTTGGCTAAAAAAGGGAACCAGATAACAAATAATTTTACAAAATGAACTTCCCTTTTAAAGGGTACTTCGCCTAAGATTCATTGTTGATGATATCAGTGTATGCCACTAATCTGCACTCTTAGTTCTTCTTTACCACAGGTTATTAACTATCTTTAACTGGCACAAAGGTGAATTTCCTATGCTGCATGAGTTATTTTAATGGTATTAATTTTTTTAATCTCGTGATCATTTTCTCCTCGAATCATACAATCCACATATCAAAATATTCATCGGTGAGCAATCATTTATTTCTCACATGAAGCAGTTATACAGTATAACCACTGCAAACCTTTATTTCTCGTGAGTCACTATTTTATCTCATAAAGTGTTATTTTATTTCTACTTGGATTCACTACGGCACATTTCTTTTTCCCCTCAATGGACACCTCATAAAACTTCACATTTATGCCAGACAGAAGGTTCCAGAATTTTTCAAACCATAAAACTGTGTAACAATATTTTTTATTTGACTTTTACGTACATAACACAACAATAGAATAGAACATGCTAGTGGCACCTTCAGATGATCCATGCGATAAAACCTTGGTAAAAGAATTTTGGGATGGTAGCATTTAAATAACACATGGTATTGAAATGCTGCATGTATTATGTATGCTTTACTGACCTGAACCTATAGACGTGATTCTTACTTTTTATTTTTAGAAAAAGTTGTCTTGTTATAACCTGTTATATTATACTGTATGTCTGTGGGTCACTTTCTGTATACAAGGTCTTAGCTCCATTACTAGTTACAGAAATAAATTGTCCTGTCACATAGAACACAAGAAGTGCCTATGTAGATCAGTGTGACAGGATCACTGTATTACTGTGTATAAAGAAATACTGAAAACCATTATTAGTGTCTGTGTAACTGTTTAGGCATGGCACAAAAACAGCACGTCTAATATTTACATAACATATCATGATTCTGAGAATAATCATATTTTGACATACTTTTAAATATAATGTATAATATGAAAAATGTAGTACCTGATTGGTCATTATGTGTTGCTTCACTTAGCATGTTGCCTCTACATTTTCTTCCAAAAATAATATTCTGTGACGATCACTAGAAACGGAAAAAAAAATCAGAGCACTTCCAATACAACCCTTTCAGTAGGGTTATTCTTCTCTGATTTAAAGATGTTTCCAAAGGTGCACATGTGCATTTACACTTGGTTTAGCAATGTTGTTTTGTTTATCTTTTTTAATTACATGCAAAACTGGATGTAAACAACAGCCGGTTTCATGCTCCCTCTTCACCAGGTGACGAGGGAGCGTGGAGCTAGCTTCCCGGCTAATCAGGAAGCCTGGGGGCAGGTCATTACACGCCCCTTGGCTTCCTGATTGGCCAGGAAGGCAGCTCCCTGGGCGGAAGTTTCAGTGTCGGGATAAGTATCAGGAGCATTTGGGCGAGTACTCGCCCAAATAATCGGTATCGGCACCAATACCAATACTAGTATCAGAGCATCCCTACTCTTAATATACTTGAAATCTTTTTAAATTAATATTCTTTAATTTCTATCTGCTCAAAGGTACCATTTAAAAAAACTAAACAAAAAAATGGTAAGAAATTGACACCACTGCCATTTAATAAGGTAGCACAAACAGTAATACATTGCAGTATCTTATAACAGCCACCCAGGTTGCTAATCCATTCCTTTAATTGTTGAACCAAATGGAATACTTGAGTTCTATGGTTGATTAAATGCAGGTAAGTGAATCTCATTACAGGAGGACCTCCATAACTTAGATACATCAGTAATTAAAGGGATAGGCTGGCATTGACAATGCTAGCAATTATCTGCAAATTGCCCATCAATTACCCTTGCAGCTTAGACCCCACTTCGCCCTGTTTTATAAATAATGAAGCTCTGATATGTCAAGAAACGTAAAGGGTTTCATTGGGAAGATACTACCCAAACTCCCAGCTTTGGTCCCTGAGCTATATTTTGCTTCTCTTTATAATAAACAGAAGGGGTGTCACCTACCCACTGCACGAGTCTCTAAACAAATAGGCGAAGACTTCAGCACAGGCTGGGTGACACAGCTGCTCAATACTAAATCAAGCTGGTCACTGGTTCGTGAGAGAAGTCAAGAAATTCAGGAATGATTTTGTCTTACCCAAATAGCCAGCAAGTCGTTGTACTCTGTGCCAGCCACCCAAAAGAGAGCAGTTTTGGAGGGAGTTATCTTTTTAGTGCTGCCTGTTGTAGATACATTTCAAATTAATGTTTTAATGTAGAGAAATGTAGCTGCACAACTACTGATAATGGTGTACCATCAATTGAACCTATAGCTTCATATTTTTCTAGAAACAATGTAAGTGACTGTAAGGAGTCACTCTGCCTGAAACAAGATGCATTGTGTGAAATAATGTTTAATGATATACAGAAAATGACACACAGAAGCTTATACAGTATACAGTATATCATATTTCCGTAACATATCTGCTTAGCCTATTGTGCTACTATTATGCCATTTTAGGCAAAAAGGGCGCACCAGAATGGCAGTTGATAGATTTATCCTAGATAGAAAGTCAACCGTGTTTAAAGAATAGCTTCACATTCAATGTAGATGCTTAAGCTGTCGTTGTCTGTGAACTCTATTCCTTACAAATCAAGATCAATGTGGTCTACCTCCATAACCTGCAACCTACCACTTTCATTTTCTATTCTGCTGTGTTGTTGAAGAACCACCAATAGAGGGAGCTTTTAGTAGACAGGAGTTGGACTACTCACCCAGCCTAAAGCTGGCCACACACAGATCAGCCGAAATTCAATCTGTAAGTTGTTTTTGTGGCACCATCTGGCTCAACTAAAGTACATTTTTCAGTTAACTTTGTTGAAGAAGGTGGGTGGAAAATTGTCCAAATTAGAATAGCTGACAGGGGAGATTCCTCCATCCACATTGTTTAATATTGATAGGGAAATCAAGTAATTTTGCACATTTGGGCAAAATGAGAAAAAAAGTGCATAGCCAGCTCAAGAAAGACCCACTTTCCTGTGTTCCAAGTTCTTCCTCTGGTGGAGGCATGTTAACAAAAGGAGGGGGTGCCGGCTTCAAGGTACAGAGGCCCTTTTTTAGTTTTTTTCACAGTATGCATGGACAATAACAGTTATATACACTGAAAATACCATAATTCTTTTACCATTATACCAGCTTCATTAAATGTATAATCTCCTGAAACTTTTACCTATGTATCTATGAATGTGTTCAAAGCCTCCTTTACATAAACCACCATGTAATTTATTTGTGGTGGCCCTTATAATAACACAGCGTTATAAAGGTATTTAGATAATTATCTTTATAGTGATATAACAATCCAGTGTGTTGCAGAATTGCATAATATAATAATTAAAATAAAGAATAATTGCAATTAACATCCCTGTATAGGTTTGTTTACTTGGAAGGTTTACTGCGCAAGAGGCACCATAGGCAGTCTGTATTTACCGTGCCCACACTCCTTTAAAAAAGAAATACCTTAGCAAAAAAGTTTTTTTTTAAATATATTTTCCCAGAAAATGTATGTAAACCCTAACAATTAACTTTTTTTATTTGCTGCCTTTTGGTTTGTTAAATATATAATTGAAAGTGTGTTGTTATATCTATTAAATACGTGCATAACAATACCTGTTAATCCTGACAGAAATCCTGACAGTAAGTTGATAACTATTTGTGCTTTCTACGTCTGCTGACTGTTATCAGTTACATTGCTTCCAGATATCTTTGTAAAATACAAAATAACTCCCCCTACGTTTTGAAGAAGAGGTGTTCTGTAGTCCTGTCCTAGGATAACAGTGCTGCTCCTTCGTACAGTACACTGATTCAGCATGGACGCCCCAGGACAGAGTGTTACTGGCAGGATCAACAGATGAAAGGAAAGAAAATCCTGAAAGATAGAAACCAAATGCAACCATTACATCTAAGAACTGTAAGCTGCAATTTTATGCATTTTTCTTCTCGGGTTTAAATACGCATAAATTATGTTCAACATGTAAAACATACCATACTGTCTTCAAGTCAGACAAATGTATTAGTATGAAATAGACAGCCAGAGAAAAATGAGGGGT